CAATCGAGATTAAACTGTGTTCATTCACCCCATATCTGGAAAAGAAAAATAGAAAATAAATAAAACTCCATTTATTTTTATTTGTAACTCTGTGAAATTGAGGGAACTTATCTTTAAATCGCAATTTTCTCAAATATAAAATCAATCTTGATTTAAAATCGATCAGTGAGTACAATAGTAGGTTTATTTATTTTTCTTAATCATCATAGGAACAATATCGCTAGAAACCATCAAGCGGCAATTAGGACTCTATGCTGATTATCAGAGGTTAAGGAAATTAACAAGTTGCAGAATCAGGACTAATAAAGACACAGCACATCAAGAATAATAAAGACACAGAATCAGGACTGATAAAGGCACAGAATCAGGACTGATAAAGGCACAGCATCAGGACTAATATACCCTTTCGAGATATAATGATGGGTGAACTGAAATTCGGATATGGTTGCAAAATGCTATTAGTAATTATAGTGATGATAGAAGTATTAGATATTTGTAAAGGGAACCAATGTTTTAATCCAGACACTGTTTCTGATGTACATATGGACTCTAGATTTGATTCTGAATATTTTCTAGTCCAGGCTTCAATAGGACCTGTTGATTGTATTAGAACATGCAAATCATGTGGATTATGTAAGTTTGTGAATTTTAACAAAAGGACTCTAGATTGCTCACTCCTGGCAGTAGAAGGTCAGTTGATCACTGACAATGATTATATTTCTATAGAGTCTTATAAATGGAATGATAACATGATGGGTGTATGTAAAGATCATAACTGTCCTTATAATACATTGTGTGTGGTAGAAGATGATAACTATACCTGTATACCATTAGGGTGTTTAATACCACAAATAGATAATATCAATGTCACTTCCTTCTACAGTAAGTTATTGTGGAATTTTGGAGAAGTTGTAGAGTATGCTTGTGAACAAGGCTTTTTTACCCGCACTAATGCTACTTGCTTGAGTACAGGCCAATGGAGTGACTTTCAGTGTACTGCTTTTTCTAAATGTGGTGATAATTCAGTCTGTGGTCTACAAGAAGAGAAGTTTTACTGGCTCCTCCTGATTGCTACTGAGACTCGACAGAAGGTCCATTGTAAAAACGCAATTGGCCCTTCAATATTACTAGCAGAATACAACATGGCATCAACTCCTGCATACAAAAGAACTGCTGGATCATGTGACTTGATTCCTGAACCAGAGCCACAGGCGCATGATATGGGTTATACAGATTATCAGATGACAAGAGTAATACTGAATCCTCTGAGCACAAAGATAAATAGTCCAGGGTTTAGTAATTCCACGTACAGTCTTCAGGACTTTGGAAAAGCCGGGGATTGCTATGCTGGAGACAACAGTAGTGAATGTGGTGTCATTGGAAGATTCATTATCAATACTCGTAACACTGGCTACAAAGTTAAAACATCAGTTAAATGGAAAACTTGGGGTACAGCTGGGGTGATTGCTAACATTACCTGGTCACCAGATGGTCATGTGATTGAGGGCTATTGTGGGGGTAATTGTGGAGGCTGTGAAGTTGATGGGAAAATTCTGCTGGAGTCTGACCCAGATTTTACCCCACTCTTTGAGTCAGCAGAACTATCATTTTGTAGATTTCCACTCTAGAGTTGTACTGTTATCTATAAATGTAGGTAAAAAATGTACTTTCGAAGAAGTGTGTCATATATTGTATTATATTGTATGATATTCTTTTGTGTTTTTTGTTATGATTTATGTAGATGCATCAATTGTTAGACTGAGTATTTATGAATTTGTAGATTTCCAGTTTTGTCTCATAGTGATCTATAGTGAGTCAAGTTTATTAGTTATTTCTACCATAGATAGGTTTATTACTATTGATTATTTGTAGATTTCCACTTTTATAATTCAGTAATTTAGTCAGAGATTTTAAAAAAAACAGTTATCTATTGTAGATTTCAACTTTTATTTATGAGGATTTTTTTAGTAAGAATGTAGTTTTCCAATCTTATTTAAATGTTATACTTAAGTATTTAGTTTTCTAAAGATTGAAGATTCTCACTATACAGATAGTGCCAGCACAATTATTAAGATGTAGATTTCCACTATTTTCTATACAGTTTTCTGTAGATTGTAGATGTTAACTCTTTTATATATCGTAGATTTCCACCATATAGATAGTGCCACCACAATTTATTATGTGTAGATTTCCACTCTTTTTATAAAGTGTTCTATATATCATAGATTACCATCCAAATTGATTACATGTAGATTTCCACATCTATTTATAAGGTTGTTTATTATTATAGATTTCCAATTTATAGAAAGTGTCTTTACAATTGTATATCTGTAGATTTCCACCACCATAGATAGTGTCTGCACAATTAATTATGTGTAGATTTCCACTAATATTTAAAAAGTGTTCTGTAGATTGTAGATTTCCAATTTATAAAATTTCAAATTACAAAATATGACTAAAAAAAATTTATTGTGTCATGACACATTTTCTTTAAAAAAATTATTTTATGATCTTCACATTTATTGTTATTTCATGATGCTTTTCAGAAACAGAATAAACTTTTAGAACGAATTGTACTTTCTTCGAAAAAATTTTTCTATAAAGTTTCATCCATTTTTGATTCTTGTAGTTGCTTTTTCTGAAATAAGATAAATTTTCAAAATAAAGTTGGAAGTTTAAAAATTTTGGACATCATGCCTGACATTAGAACCTATAACTAGAATTTGTCGATGTAACCAGGCAAATGACATCATGTACAGATTCCTAATGTTTAGCCAACTGTGCTACAACCCATGGCCAAATATACATATATATATATTTACTATGTCATGAAACATGTAGACATAGATAATATTTTGTTACAAAACTTTATTTATCTCTATTTAATAATTTCCTTTTACGTACACAATTGTTAACAGATCTAATCTGTATATTATCTAGTTATTAAGATGGGAAATAAATCAAGCCAACTAGCAATTTTACAATGTACATTGAAGAAAATTCTAAGCTTTCCAATTGGCTGAAGTCTAGCATACCAGCTGCCTCGCTTCTGGCCTTCTTTCTATGA